GTACCCAAGTCCTGGCTGTAGGTATTTACTTGGGAGAGAACTGTACTGCTTTTCAGAAGCACCTGAAAATAAGAAGGTTCTCATTTTCCAGTTTGAGGCATGTTGATGTATGACAGTAAAATTATTGTACAGATTTTTCAAAACTGTTCCAAAAGGTCTGTGTTCTTTATGGTGTATGTGATGTGTAGCCATTAGTTGTCATATAGAAACAGCACTATTACTAAAAGGTATCTTGGGTTTCTACAAAGCCAGAGGTTAGGAGAAGGAAGTGAAACAAAGTTAAAACAGAAAGAGCAAAACAAAATAACACAGTAAAGCATGTTATTGGCATTGAAAGTCTTTTTGGAGTTTTAAATTCATTACATGGAATGTTTATCAGAAACAGACCTCTGCACACTATGTGACAGTACCACCAGCTGCTTGGCAATGTAATTAATTGATCATATCACAAAAGTGCTTTGCTAATTACATGGAAAACAGTCTTGTGAGTAGTACTCGGAGGGTTTGTTTGCTGTCCTGTTGAGTGCTGTGCAGTAAGCTTGTGTATTCAGCCCTTCCATTAGAGGCAGGGACAGGGATCCGAACAGCACTTACAGACACCTCCCTCTAAAAACTGTGCAATATGTGGACCACCTGTACTAAGGAAATCTTTAGGCTCAGGAAGTAATCTCAAACCTACTTTCTCAGGGTCAGGCTTTCAACAAGCTAAGCTTCAATGAGAACAGGCACTTGTGAAGACACATCTTCTAGGTGTTAGTTTTTCTCCTTTTGCTAGGGTTTACTCTCACCATAATCCTTGGGGTTCACAGAAAACTTCCTAATAAGCTGCTGGCAAAATCTGAGGAGCTGATTCAACCCCTCTATTTAAATATAAAGCTATCCTACCTAGCTGGTTGTTGTCTTTAGCACAGATCAGGGGGCACTCATTTTAAGCATTCAATCAACTGGTTTATGAGGATGGTTTCTTCTGGTTAGTGGATGGAGGTGAGCAACTGTGAGGCATTTAACTGACAGAACTTGCTCTGCAGGCAAGAGCTGGTCTGCAGCTGTAGGATGCAAATGCTAGATGTAGACCATGGAAGATGTTCTCAAAGGTTCAAAATTATTCCAAAAGGTACGTGTGTTCTTTATGGTATATGTGATGCCACTAGTTGTCATATAGGTCAAAGATTTAAATCTAAATACTGCTTAAGCTTTTCACTGCTCTCTGCATAATTTCAGGCTGCAAGCATAAAATCATTGATGATAAAACCACTATTCCAACAACAACTTTAAGCAAGAGAAAGAGATTTAAATTGCAGCATATCATGATTTTCAGTTTCTCTAACAAAAAATAACTTTGGCAAGGAGGGCTGGCTTCACACAGTCCTAAAGGTGGAATATGGCTTTATTTTTAATTTTTTTTTTTTAAATTATTCATTTGTAACATGACAAAAATGGAAATGTTAACCTATCTATATAGCAGTTCTACACTAGGATTTATGATTAATATTATAAACTTCCACCCCAATGGAAATTAATTTAAAAACATCTGCTTAGCATCTATTGAGGTATTTTTAGTCAAGGAATACCACATTGCAAGGCAGAAATTTGGACTACAGCTTTTGTTTGGGTTTAAAAAAAGCCCAGGCAACAGCTGTCTTCATCCTCCTCTGTTCCATTTAATTCATCATAACCACAGGTAGTAATAGGCTCTACTGCACGTTAGTGATGTGCATTTGTAAATACACAGACTAGTGATGACACTGCTGCCTACCAGCATTTTGACTTAGAAAATACTACAACAGCTTTTGTCCTTGAAGAAGCAGAAACCTAGGTCAAAATATTCACTGGGAATTTGTGTGCATGAGTGTGGGGGAATGCAGATGTGGTGTCTACACATATCTGGGGAGATGATGGCTGGACGTTTTTGACTAGTGACAGTTTGATAGCTGTATCTCTGTAGTATGCTATACTTGCCTGTTAATAGAAACAAGTTTAAGTGACTTAATGCCACTTAACCAAAAAGGTTTTCAGGATGTTGAAACGATCATATGAATGTAAATTTCTCTGATTAGATAGAGAGATAAAATCCTTTTCAATTAAGGAAAAAAAAAGTTACAATCCTCATTTCTCTGAGAACATCAAAATAAGAAAACAACTTCCTTATGTGATAGATCTGTTTGCATTTTTAAACAGTTCCCTTAAACAGCAAGACAAATTGTCCAAGGACACAAAGTAACAGGTTATAAGATCAAGACCAGCTTTAAAGATGTCTTTTACTTTAAAGATGTCTAACAGAAAAACATGCAATAAGGGAACTATACTTCCTTCTTATTATGTATAGGTTTCATACAAAGTAATTGAAGTTTTTCTTGGCCAAAATAAAAAGAATTAGCTTTCTGAATGGAGATGCCATTAACTGTAAAATAAATGCAACAAATATAAGATGAGAAAAGATAATGGGAACTAGTATGTAAAAGCCTAATTTTGTTCATGCTTTATGGCTCAAGGGTGCAGTACTTTAAATGACTGTTGCCTGGGGCATCACAGGTTCTTGGATCATGACAGGAAGTTCTAAAATGTATTAGGATGAAATAAACTAAGGGAATCAAAGTATTTTCCTAACCTACAGACTAAATGTTTAGATGTAAGTTTTATAAAAGCACGAAGTTAGAAATAAGAACAGTAATTTGAATGAAGTGTCTCTATCTTGTACCTATAGCAAGAAAAAGAGTAAAGATGATACATATATTTATGTATACACATCCCCCCTTATATATATAGTATATGTTACCTACACATCAGTCACAAATGGATTTTTTTTTATACACAAGTACTTTTTCATGTGCTTATTTAAGCAGAGGTTCAGACCTGACCTGCTGTGAATGTGAAGTGCATGTGGAAACTCCATCTAGCTCTGCCACTGCCATGTCCCCGTCATTAGGCAGCAGCGCTGCTCTGGACAGTGCGAGCCTGCAGGAGCTGGCACACCAGCTCTGACTGCACGCTCATTCTGTGTAGGTTTTCTGATGATGCTGATCTTCTAACAGGGCTTCTTGTTATTCAGCACAACCAACACATGATAGAGGTGCCTTGGCACTCGTCTGAAACGTTTCTGTGTCTCTGAGGTATATGTGAAGTGACAGATGTTAGTGCCTCGCTGGATGACGCTCTGCTCTCAGTTTCATAACAACAAATCAGTCTTTCCATTGAAAAATAACAATTTTTTCCTCTAGGCAATTTCTGATGTCTGTGTACTTCTGTAACCATTGCAAATGATCTGCTGGTTTGGAGCTCTTAACTATGGTAATGTGTTCAGAGCAAACCTGTGACTATTTGACTGTTTTGTCAGCTGTCATTGTAGTTTTTTTCTTATTAACACTGAACTGACAACTTTGCATTTAGGAAAAAACATTTACATGTATTAAAAAGGGTACGTTGCCACTCACTACATTATGCAGATCTTTATAGGAGGTCAGAAAATAATGCATACTGTGTATGTATGTGATGTGCAGGGTAAGCTGCTGACAGGTTTTCATGTGATCCAGGCAAGATGCAACATCATCAAAACTGATGTGTTCCCACTAAACCTTCCACAACCCTACCCAATATGTTTACAAACCATGTGTCTAGCTCTTATCTCTCCTGATTAGATTAGGAATTAAGAGCATAAGAACCTGAGATCTTGCATAAATTCAGGTCTTGTGTGTCTTCCTGTGCATGGAAACCGCAGCCCTTCTGAATTCTAAATTATAAACTCATGATCTTTCACGCTCCGTGGATCTGACCTGAGTCCTGATCTACTTCATGGACTATGATCAGTTCTGCAGAGTGCCTGTGTTGCATGAGTGCCTGCACCCCACTGTAAGGCCAGGCAGAACGTTGTGGCAAGCACAGAGCAGTAACTGAACCGTTGGTGTTGAGGGCCTGCTGTCTACACAATGCACGTTTCAGAGGGTTTTACTTTGGATCAGCTGTCTTGCCTCCATGCATCTGAATGCCTGTTAGAAGATGGATTGAACTAAGCTCACTCCCAAAACTCATTTTTGGTTCACTTTCATCTGGAATGTATTGCCAGTAGCTGCCAATCTGCCCTCTCTGTTGTAACTTCTGGCCATTGTGCAAAACTGCGGCTAAGTTCTCCTGTACACAATGCTGTGTTAACTAAAAATCCCAAGTTTGCAAATATTTCTGGAAGGTATTAGTGACAGCACTGTGTGATCCATCCTATTTGCATCGTGTAGAATAGAGGTCTAGAAGTAATTTGCCCTCTTAGATGTTGCTAGTTACAAAATGGGTATGTCAAAAAGGTTTCAGAGTTAAACCTGTAGCTTGAAATTAACAAACATAACCACAAAAAAGTGGAAGCAGAAAAAGCTGAGATGGTTACATCACCAAGTTTCCTAATAAACAGCAATTGCTGAGATTACACCACACTGTTTTTTCATCAGAAATCCTCCAACTCATCTTTCAACTTATTCCTAACAAATCTAAAACAAAGGGCTAAAACTATGACTCCTTTAAACACACTGGATATGTCTGACTTGACAATAATTCTTACCTCTTCCCTGCACAAGTATAATTTGAATCCTTTGGCAGTTTGTTTATCCAGATTAACATTTCCAAATGCAGAGTGCTTGTCCAGCAGTCACTGCTCTGCAGAGCTGCCAGTGTCTTAATTGTTTCCGGCAATGGCGACTGCCTTTTTTAGGCTTCTTTTTTTTTTTTCTTCTCCCTCCTCAACTGGCATTTCAGAGCAGCAGCTTCACAATACATTAGCTTAATGCATTTTGAGCTTGACCAAATCTTCCACTCCCACTACTGCTGATGCGTCTGCTATTATCAGCATGCAGTATAAATGATTTAGACCTCCAAATATCCAAATCCTTGCAACAGCAAAACCAGATCGAATCTAACGTTTAGAACAGTATATTGTTACAAACACTGATTCAGTGAGCAAATGGATTCAGGTTCGTAGGACGTTTTGTCATTCTTTAGGAAGGTGAAGGGTAACTCACTTGAGCATGTTAGTTTGATGGACATATAGTCTCTGCCACAGTCCTTCTTATAGTGACAGCGCAGCCAGTTTAAGAGGCAGAGTCCGTCACCACACTGTAGTTCTTCTTTTTTACACGGCAGAATGCTCTGCTCATCTGAAAGGAGGAGAAACAATAGATGACTCTGTGTAACAAGCAACTCCTTCCTGAGCAACAAAGCCCCATGTCTACTGAAAGTCAGTCTTCCTGCTTTTAAAAGCCCTGGGCACATGAAAACACTCTCTTCTGTTTGTCAGATGTGAAGAGGGTCTCAGACTCAACCAAATATTTCCTGTGCTGTTGTTACTGATCATTTAAACAGTGTTTGAGACAGATGAGGTCTGCGTGAAGCACAGCAAAGAAATCACAGGGGTACCATGTCTCTGAGGCACCCAGTCTTCTGACTGACTTATATGCTTTAACATCCAAAACTAAACAATCCATCTTTGCTCCTGTTTCACATGCAAAATGGATAAATGAAGGGCAAAAAAAAAGGATCATCTATCTTGCATAAGCATGAAGGACTGGATTATTTCTTAGCTGTAAATTAAACTCTCACAATCCCTTTCCAGTTTGACAATTAAGGGTAGGAACTCTGATAGAGTGGGGAAGGAGTTTTTGAATAATCTTAACAAAGCCTTGGGTAAATTTACAGAGATAAAAACTCAGGTTTGGTTTGCAGAGATATTAAAACCTATATAGTAGGGTCTGCAGCTCTGCATGGGGCCAAATCTTTGACTGTCCTCTCAGCTGAAAAATTGAAGCAACTTCCCAGTACTAATGTTCATTCTTGGGAGCCGAGTAGAAACCTGAATCACTCATCTCTGCTGAGAGAAGGAGAAAACGAGTAATTTTTATCTTGTACTTTGATGGTGTACTATGGTTCCTTTTATCTTTATATATACAAACATATATGAACAGAAATTTCCTGCTCTCAAAGGAGAGCTATCAGCCTAATCCCTGTAATTTAAGAAAAGCAGAGTTTCAGGCCATGCTGATATTCATCTGTATTTGGACAAGAAACTGAAGCACTGATGGGAGTGTCATCACTTGTCAAATCTGAACAGGATCACCCCTTCCTAGTCCAAGAGTCCTGAGGCTACGCCCGAGGAGAGTGGTCACTGCCAATGCAATGGCAGCAAGCAAGAGGTGTTTAGGCTTCACTGCTCAAAATAGCTGTTTTGTTTGATGTCCATAAACATCCAAACAGCAGCTGCGTGACACAAAATTTAAAAAGGAGTTGGGGAATCTCTGTGTAAAGAGGGGTATGTAAGGGTATGTATAAGGGTATGTAAATCTATTCCAGTTTGTTAGGTTAAAAACCTATTAACATACTACAAGGAACAAACAAATTGATGGGAGATCAAGAAGTAAAAAAATTATCCAGGAAAAGAAAGGACTTCCCCTCCTTCTGCTTGTGTTATTTGAAGAAGGTGTTATTTTTCCCCCCATATCTCACCAGTAGTGCTATTGAAAGTGGCTTTCTTTTGATGGTAGATAAAAGGAAACTATTTTCTACAAATGCATCTCAGTGTACAAATGGATACACAGAAATAATTTGGTTGCAGTTTTCTAGGCCCTTCTAATAATGAGAAAGTGAAGTAAAATAGAAAATAGTTCACTAGTGACAGAATAAAAAGTTTTTAAGTTTGGCAAGGAAGACATTTGTGCAGAAAGACTCTTTGGAAATCAGCTTTAAATTTCATTAGAGCTGTATTCAGGTTACTTTATGTGAACAATCTGAAACATTCCAAACACAGGCAAATAAAACTTCAAGCCCAACCCAAAGAACACCAGCTCTTGAAAGTAAAGGCACAGAGAGCTGATGTGCAAACCAGTACCTAACAGACAACGTGCCATTCTGCTACATCATGGTTTTGTTTGATCTCTAATAATTTTAATCTTGAGCATTTCTGTCATCCTTCATAGCTGCAAAATCATGCAGTTTGGAATAACTGTTCATGATTTCCAGTTCTCCACATATCTGCTCCAGTAGCTGATACTAGTACCCCCAATGCATCTCTAAGTATCACCCACATTGACAAGATACTGTTCTAGTAAATCTTAGCTTGTGTACTTGTACCTGGCAGGTCTGCAGTCTAGAGGCCAATAATGAGATAATAGTGTTTTCTACTTTCAGAATGTCTTGCAGGACATATCCCAAATGGTTGCTTGTGTTTCTGGTAGGCATCTCAATGGTTTTGGGGTAAAATGGCATAGAATTCTCAGCAATTAAAGTTGTGGGGGTTTCCTGTCTGGGTTGGGTTTTTTTGAGATTTTGAGAGTTTAAATGTTACAGAAGCAGCATCTAAGCAGTGATCACTTGGTGATACCAAACGCAGGCATTGTGTAAATGGCAACACCTTTTGTTAACTTTGGGCTGGTTATACAGTTATTGCAAATAGCAAAAAAGAATTCACCTGCAAGAAAATGATGCAAAAGGAAAAAAATTATATATTAGCAAGTTTATTGAGTAATTGGTCCTGGTATGAATCCTATATACTTATATCTTCTGAAAAGTCTGGTTAGTTTGTAATCTAGATGTAGCTGCCCTAATTATTTTGAACATCTTTGAACTTTCTCCAGTCTACACCTTTTTGTATCTTTCTTTTTCACTGTTCCTGTTTTCACTAGTTCAACACAATTCTTTTCTATCACTGGCTACCATTTCACCATTTTTGGATGTAAGAAAGTTTTCTACAGTTCCCGAAACATAAAATTCCTGTTTTACTTTTCACCACTTTACTGGCTCTACTTTGAAGCTAAATGTCTCTTCTCTCTCATCTAGAGAGTAATACTGTGCTTTCTGTTTCTGCTAGTTGTGGTTGAACTGTATAAGTCACTTTGGGATACAGTCTTGATGAAAATGCTAGAAAACCACTGTGATGTTTTATTATCTTCAGGGAGAACTAGTAAGATTGTAGGCTATAAGAACTTACATGAGCAGATCAAATTTTTTTTCAGACTGAGAAGAAATGGGTGACGATGGTTAAAAAAAAAAAGGATTGCAAACCTATCCCATAAAACTGTATTTCCCAGATGTAACAAGAGCAAATTATGTCTTTTCCAAATCCACATGATACATATCTTCCATCTATTCTCCAGAGGAGCTGCAAAATATCTGAAAAAGCCATGAAGCCTAAATCTCTGTAAATGCTTTTTGAGGAAGAAACTGAGGTGCATGCCCATAGTCCTGCAGCAGGCAGGGACAGAGGCAGGCTTCACATTCAGTGTGGTACTCAGTGAACAAGTAACAATGTTGAAGTTTTATGCAATGAAAATTCTTTAGAAACAGAGAGTTTCATTTGTGAGAAAATGCATTACTTTCCAAGATGATGCTTCTGTCTCAGTAGAGGCTAGCACAGAGTATTTTGTCTTTACAGTATGTTTTACCCTGAGGCAAAACTGATATGAAAACAAATCAAATTGATTTTTTTTACTACAGATGACTGGGAGTCAACAAAGTCTCTTTTGGAGACTTCCCAGTTCCAAGCCCCCTTGTTCCCAACCAGAGTGTGCCATGCAATGGCATGCTGATGGCTTTCAAGGTTTGTATTATAAATCAGCACACATTTGAATGAATTTATGAAGTGAAAATTATTAATTTAAGAACATCAAAATGATGATATCAAATGTAGGGTCAGGTGCAAGATTATATAACTATGATGCATAAAATTAATCCACAACATGAAAATTAACCTGCACCATTAAAATACATATAACAGTTTACAGCAGTTGTGTACTATGCAAATTTTTATTTTCTTATGTTAGTGATACCACATTTTTTTAAAATTCAAATGACCACTGAATTATATGTCTGTTAAAGTGTATACACACTTCTCACATCAACCACTGAGTCTGATAATGCCCTGCTTGTCCACCATCAGGAACTATTCACTGCAACATGACCCTTTGCAGAAATCACAGTCCTCACGCGAGCCTGCAGCCTGGCTTTGAAACCTTTGTAGCCAGCTGCAGGAAGGTAGTGCTGGTGAAGAAGGATCCTCCAGTAACCTAGAGATGATTTAACAACTTTTGAACTTGGTGAGAGGATGAGAGAATAAACAACACATGGCACATGCTTGTTTGATGTTTAATGCTCTACTGTGCCTATATGATTTAGATGAGCACGACACAGAAACCTGTCCAAAACACAATATAAGGAAGAGAGATTCTTATCTCTCTGGTGACTTCTTGTGGCCCTCAATTCCTTAGCATTTGTGAATTGATGGCAGCCAAAGAAATTTACAATATCCTTAAATCAGAGGACAGATGCAAGGTACCATTTCTATAATATTAAGTTATCCTGATACTGTTTTTAACCCTGCATTTTACCGTGCTGTCTTTGACTGTATTTGGGAATCACAGTTTTACATGTTAGAAAATCTGGGAAGTAGTTCTTATTTCTACCTTTCTAGATGCTCCAGCACTCCTGAAGCATGATCTTACGTCTCCAACTTTAGGAAAATTTCCAATTCACAGCTTGCTTCATTCAGTAGAAACTTTTATTTTTTTTTAATTGGAAGGACAAAGATGTAGCTCTGAACATAGTTTTTTTTTACTCTCCTTATTTTAGACTTCAGTGTTTAGACTTCTTTCAGGTTGGCCAACAGGATCAAGGTGCACAAGTGCAGTTTCCACTCATGTTTCCATCTAGAATTGTGCTATTCTAAAAGCAAAGTCTTTCCTACAAGGATCTGTGTATATACAAAATCTTTGTTGGTGGTATTCTGATTTTGTGCTCTGGGACTTTTTCTACATTGGGGCAGTTTCTGATTGGGGATGATGCTAAGAAATGTACTATACAGCATGTTCCCTGGTGCACAATAGCAGGGATACACTGTAACTGCTTTTTCAATCTATTTCTGAATGTCCAACATTCTGTCTAAAGGAACATCTAATTTCACAAACATGTTCAGTGTGAGGAGCGTGATTATTAGTGTAGTTTAACGTACATTTCAAGTGATGCATAAAAGTCTTCCCAAAGAGCTACTCTTTGTTGCTTTTCTTTGCAGTGTTTGTGTTCTTTCTCTAGCACCAAGTTCCAGGCCAAAAGAGAAATCACTTTGGATTCATGTTTCTCTCCCGACATGTCTCTGAGGCAGAGTTATAATTAC